ATAGTAGTAGGAGTAAATGAAATTTATGATTTTAAAAATTAAAGTATAGATGATTTTATTTCAACTGAGTCAAAAAAGTTGTTTGAAAGATTGATATAAAGATAATGACATTGAACTGATTTTTTAAATATCAATCCTTTGTTGTGGAAAGACAACAGACAATATATTAGAGGAAAAATAATAGTAAATAATTTAAAAATTATAAATGATTTGGCAGAGAGGTATGTGAAACTCATAGAAGAAAATAGTAATATTTTTACAAAAGACGAAGCACAAAAAAAATACCTATTACAGATTGTTACAAAATACCGGGGTTATTTTCCTAATTACAATAAAAGCACATTATCCCAAGAATTTTAAAAAAGATAAATTATTTAAAATATGTAGTACATTTTTTTTTGTTAATAGTTTCTTATTGTATATAAATAAAAATTAAAAAATTGGGGGGTTATTTTTAACCCCCTTGGGGCACGTTATAAAGTCTTTGTCGCCTTTGGGAGGCGACAGTACAATCTGCCAAACGTCATTTGCTAAAGGTAACAAAGAGAGTAATGTTGAAGTACGATGAAATTGTTACTTTGTTATGTCAAATAGAGGCTGTATTAAATTCCAGGCTCCTCTGCACAAACTCCACTGATCCTTCGGATTTCAACGTTATTACGCCTGCTCATTTCCTGGTTGGTGATTTGTGGTTGCTTCCCCCAAAACCGGATGTTTTATCTGTACCACAAAATCGGTTAAAATGGTTTAAACTCATGCAGTCTCCATTTCAAACCTTTTGGAAAAGATGGAATGGTGAGTATCTGCAAATTGTAAATAGTTAAATGAATGTTTAGTTATAAGTGAAAAATGTATATTATACATTTTTATATTACACATTATATATTATACATTGCATAATGATGGTGTTATTTTCAATAAATGATTATGGTTCTGGGAAAAGCTAACGCAGTCCTACCCAGAGTCATCGATTCAAAGATAAAAAAAAAAGGTTGATAAATATCTGCCTCAACTTCAATGCCAAGACAAATGGATNGGTTGATAAATATCTGCCTCAACTTCAATGCCAAGACAAATGGATCTGACTGAAGCGAAATGTTACTTTCGAAGAATTGGCAATAGTAATGAATGATACTGCCCAGGTGAAGCAAAGTTTAAACGTCCTGGCTTTTCTACCTACTGCTTAGGATGCTGAAATGGATTAAAATGACTTCTAATATTATTGTTATCCTACTAATTAGATGAGTAAAATTGCCTAAAATATGAAGTATTTTTATGAATTTGTAAAAAAAAAAAAATAATCCATTTTATTTTTAATGTATTCCAGTAATTAATTAGTTAGTATTTTTAATATTCTATGTATTCGGTTTATTAATATAATTCATAAGTAATGTAAGCAACATGTATTCATTGTATTTTTAAGTGTTTTTGATGTGAAATCTTAATTATTTAGTTCATTAATATTCTTTATGGTTTTTTTTTTAATGCTTTTTAATAATCATAAAGTACTTCAGTTCCTATATATATATATATATATATGATTAAAATTTAGAAATTTATATTAGTTAATTAGCTCATCCGAGCTAATTCCGTGGTGCATTTTAAGTTGCGTCACGCACACATAAGGAACAAATTTTAGATAATCTTGCTCAAACAGTAGAATATCTCATTAAATAAAGAATATTTTCTTAAATAGTAAAGTAAAATACTATCCCCATATGGTATACCCATAAGGTAAGGCACTTGTAAAATTGTTTAAAAAAAGAAAAATTCTTTCTACAAAATTAATTAATGTTGTGGAATAACACAATTAAAATAATTTTAACCCAATAACTTTTAATATTATAATAACTAAATAACTATTAATTGTAGAGAAACTGTAATAACTTTCAATGCAGTAATGTTAATTGACTGTAAATTTCAAGGAATTTAAAAATTTATAATAATAGATAATTATTTAATTTAGAGAATGTAGAATCGATTCTAACTTTTGGATCAATACTTAAGAAGTTAAAACGATACTAAAATTTTGATAAAGTTTGAGGCACAGGAGTGACAATATTTTATGTTATTAAGATATTGGTAGATATTAGACAATTGTAATGGTAACTTTTATAACCTACAATTTTGTCATCCTATAATCCTATGAAAAATGTTATCGACCTACCTGTCATATAAAATATTTACTATCTTATTTAAACAATAATACATTTAATTTAAATATGTAGTTATGTATATAAATTATATTGAATGATTCACTTATTATTAACTACTTAATTTATCAAAAAAAAAAAAAAAATTTGTAATAATAATGATTTTAAAAATGTATTTAAATTAAATGTTTCTCTCAATTTATCAATCATGAAATATTTTGAGGCTGTCAACTTCAATTTCTCAAATGGTCACAGACATGATTTAACTAGTTTATATAATTAGATCATTTATTATTATTAATATTATTATCTATTAGTGGAATAGCCAAAGCGACTGATGTAGCTGCAGTTAGTCTACCCTCAAAAATTGATCCAGTGACCGCATTTTATACTGAACATTGAAGTTTTATAGATTGTAAGTAATACAATTTATTATAAAATAACAAATATTTTTTCAGTCTCTTACCTTTTATATACAATTTTTCCAAATACACAAATAATGTTCAACAGCAAATTAAATCATTCACATCATTGAGATATATTATTAAAAACATATACTTTAAAAAACCCAAAATTTATTAATATAGTATACCAAAACTTAAAGTTATAAAAACCTTAAAATGCATTATTTGATCATATTAATAAATGATCAAATTTAGTTTGATATTAATTAGATTGAGTAGTGAATATTTAGGTATACGAAATATTATGGGATGCTTTTAAATTGTTTAAGGTCAAAACACGAAAGTTAAATTAGATATAGATAAACTAACATACGAGTTATAACAGATATACATAAATTATTATGTATATAAGTTAAAAAATTCCTCTTCAATGGCAAATAGATTTTAAGACATTTCGCCGCCACCGAATAACAAATTATTTCTATAATGCCACAAATTATTTAAATTTAATTTGTGCTTAAAACGCCACAAATATAAAAATTCAAAATGGTTTTATTCTATTTACTTATGTTATGAACAGTTTTTTTTTAATAACCCGGGTTACAACTCTTTAATCCTCCATTGTTAATGACTATATCTTTTACAACGGATGATTAAGGATTGTTAATTATTTTAATTCTACAAAACAAACCTCCACTGGCAATATACTTATTGCCATACTATTGTGCTTTAATAATTAATTTTTTGAACAGCAGGTATAATAAAAATAACAATTGATCACTTACGGAATATATTTATTAATAATACTTCAATTTTATTAACATAAATAAAAATGTTTTATCATTTACTAAAAATTAAATTTACCTAATATTTTACTCAGTCAACTAATAAACTTCTAAGTCAGGTTTTGAATTATCGCTTTGGTTATTAACTGTAATGACTGTGATACGAACGGTTTTTAGAAGAACAAATAGATAAGTACTAAAAATCTAAATAGTTACCTATTACTATTCTACCTTGAAATATTGCATTATTTTATTTTAATCAAGATACTAGTGAGTATTCTTATAAAGTACGTCTCAAAATATACGAATAATTACAAGAATAGATTAAACTCATCAATATGTTGTATTGTGATTATTATGTTGAATTACGAGTGCTTATTAATATTGTCCTTTAAGGTGGATTTATAGCAAAAAGTTATATCATTATTAAAAAATAGTTCTATCATTCATAAATATTAAGTCATTCACGAAAATATTAAAAATTATATACGTAATAAAATTTTAAAAGCTATTTCAATCCTGTAAAACACAGAATACATAAGTATANTACGCCACTGATATATTTAAAATTACATGGTAAAATACATAATTATTATAGCGTTATATAAATGATTAATTTTTTATATTTCATAATTAAGCGTATATCAGCTTTTCTATAAATTTGTCAAAATTAGTGTTTTTTCATAACCTATAAAATAGTGAATTTCTTTGATCAAAATATAAAATAAACTACATTAAAATGAAAATATATTAACATTCTTACAATTAACTATAGTCTTATTATATGTCTACACAAAATTTATTTTACTCATTCATGTTGATTTAAATGACAAAACAACTAAATAATAGTTTATAACTATAAAAATGGATTTTTATTAAAAAAAAAATTAGTTCTATCATTCATAAATATTAAGTCATTCACGAAAAATATTAAAAATATATACGTAATAAAATTTTACAAGCTATTTCAATCCTGTAAAATATGTTTTCCTCAAAAATCAACACAGAATACATAAGTATAATTAAATTAACTCACAAGTGTTTTAGAGCTGTAAAAGATCGTGTGAACATTTATTGTATCCTGTGAAGTACCAAAATTATTTATTATATTATTTAAACAATCCATAGAGAATTAGAAAATTGAAAAAAGTTTTTATAATATCTAAGGGCAATTAATTGTTTTAATATTTCTGAAATAAAAACTTACTAAAAGTTAGGCCGTACTAAGTTTTATGATTTTTAAAGAGATTATAATTAATTTAATATATTCTAAAAACGAGTTCAGGACACGTATTATTAAATCACAATAATAAGTGGATGGATAATTTATTTTTAAATATTTAAACAAATCATAAAAAAATTAAAGACGTAAGTTTAATTGAATTAAAAAAAATATTATAATTAAATTATTAATTTATTATATTAATAGATACAAAATTATAAATAATAAAAGAAAATGTATCAAAATGATTGAAAGTTGTTAAGAGTAATCGCTAGTTTTGATTTGTTTAATAATATAAATAAACAATTCAATAACAATTTAATAATCAAATTTTTTATTTATGAAAATAAATAATTAACTATTTTCTCCGCTTGAAAAAATAACTGATTCTTTTCCGCATAATTAATAAATGACATAACAGCATTCAAGTTTCTACCTGAAAATATATTTTTTGTAGTAGAGATAAATTTTTCAGCAGCACCCAAACTATAATACTCAACAGTTTCAACCTCTGATTCGTTGTGAACTGTTTTACTTTCTTTAGAGGGAAGTTCTTTGCCGTTTAATTTAATTTCATTTATAGCGTTACACTCTAAATTGCAACATAAGTCGTTTAAATATGATTTGAGGAGTTCAACAACAACATCATGGTTACCATTAATTGAATTTTTTATCTTACATACATAATCATCATCTTTTAAACGAAAGAACTTCACAAACTCATCAAGTATCTCAAACCATTTATTAATAAATTCTATCTTAATAGATTCATTTTGTTGTTTTTTTACGTATAATAAATGTTTCCATGTTAGCCTTAACATAATGACTTTAAAAAAGCTAAAAACTGAATCGTAGTATATTTTAATATCTATCAAATTATTGTCCTTCCAATTGAGATTATGTGCGTTTTCGTATTTTTCTTGTAAATTCTGCAGTGTACCTTTATCCTTTTCTCCCCAATTAACTTGTACGTTGTATTCATCCATTAAATAAAATGTTTTGTGCACGTTGTGTCCTATACTTTTAACAAGAATATTGTTTTTGCTAAACATCTTGCAGTGCATGAACGATAAATCAGTATTCATCAAAATAAAACTGTCCATGAATTCTATAATTCTAATCATAAATTTACGTAAGCCAATCAACGGCAAATTTTCTAATTGTTTAAATTTCTTTTCATTCATAAGGAATATATTATTATTTTTGTTACATTTCATTGCTAAAGCCTCGGATTCCAATTCATTCATGACATAGTCATGAGTATTTTTAAGATAAGTATTTTCATTCTCAATTGAGTATCGCATTTTATTTAAATATTTTAATTTATTTACGTGGTGACTAACAATGCTTAAATAAATGTTTAATAACCACAATGAACCTATTTCAATACCTTTGAAACCAAATAACGTATTCAACATTTTATGCAAAACTCCAAGATATGTTGATATCGGATAAAATGCATTAATTAATTTAAAACTCGGATGATATATTTCTATTTTAGCTATTTTCATATAGTTTAAAGCATTTAATAAATAAGAACATTTTAAAAGCTGAATATTTTCGACAGACTTTATTTGGTTATACTTGTATCCTGTGTTAAGTGAATCACTACGGTACACTTGTAATAAAAGTAACACTACAACTACTTTAATTACACAATTTGAATTATTACTTTTAATCAACATCTTAATGAAACAAAAGAGAACAGATTTTTTAAACTAAATCATAAGATTGTCTAATAAAATATGTTAAGTATTGAAAACTACAGCATTATAGGATTACATATTTAAAAAATGTTATTCATTATTTATAATGTTTTAATATAAACTTTAAAATTTATTTCCATTTTCTTTAAAAAATGTGTTTGACATTTATTATATGAACAACTGTTTAAAAAATATATGAGCGTACAAACAGAAGTGTAATATATATATTAAATCACTCTTATGACAAAAATAATTATTCGGAGTATATCGAAATATAGAAGGATTTAGGTAAAAATATTTCTTGTAAATATGCATTTTATCAATTATTTAACCCGTTTGTTTAATCATATACAATTTTCCGTTATATTAAAAAATTTGTCTAGTAAAAAGTTCTTATATTAACAACTGTTTGAAAATTTTCACTCAATTATAAAATTGAATTGTATAAAACAAAATTCCATACAGTTGAATCCAAAAATAAAGAAGGAATTAGCACACCAGAAACTAATTATGTAAATTGACATTCATTCTTAAAACTTATAAACTCAAGTTTATTTTACTATTTACTGTTAGGCATTTATCTAAGTAACTTAAAATTTTGAGTTGGCGTATATATATATATATATATATATTTTTTTTTTTAATTTATATTACTTAGTTTACATTCCTAATAATAAAAAAACATATCACAATTTTTATTATTTAATTATATAATTAACACCTTCTCAGCATCTTATCAAAGCTAAAAGTTCCAATTCAAAAGTTGAAAAAAAAAAGTTATGCATGTTAAATTCAGATGAAACCCAAAATCATATTTTAAGAAATTATCTATAAAGTAACATGGTAACAAAAAATTTTTAATGGCGGCTTTCACCATGAAGACTTGTTGAGAGGTCAATTTTATTTTTAAATATAATATTACACATGTTTTAAATTAATATTAACATAATAGCGCCCAAATTTTCTGCAACATTATCAAATTTCAAGTTAAAAATAGTCTACTTCTTATTTCAATTTTTAAATCCTCCTGTATAGCGATAAATAGTCCAATTTTAATGAATATTGTCGGATAAAAAAAACTCAAAAAAAAACTATATAGATCCAAATTATGTACAAAAATTATGGCAATATATATTTTAATATAAAATCGACATATTTAACACAAAAGTAGCATAATTTTGAATACGATAGCTTATTAATCTCCAATACAAGCCCAGAGGTACATTTTTTTTTTTTTTTTAAGTAAATTAAATTACATATAATTTAATTTAAAATACATATAAGTGCATCAAAAAACATTTGTATTGACCTAATCATTTTTAAAAAGTCATGATAATTTCATGTGAAAAAAAAACTCGGTGGGGTCGCGGCACAGGAGGAACGTGCCATAGTTAGAACAAGTATAATAATATCTGACAGTGATTTAAATCACTATCATAAAAAACGCTTCGATGCAAATCTTTAGATAGTATTTAATTTAAAAAAATTGGTGGAATATTCCAAAAGCTACATGATGTGTTATTTCCTTATGAATATCCTGATTAAGATAAAGTATGTCGAATGAAAATGGGATATAAATATTATTTCTCAATTAAAAATTGTGTTAATCCATATACTTTTCAATTAGTTATAGCATTATAAAGTTAAAAATGTAAAAAATAAAATCGAGAATTTTCACACAAATTAGCATTTGGTAGCCATTTTCACCATGAAGACAAAATAAAGTCAGAATTTTTTTTTTCCATAATAAAGTACATTACATTATCTTTAATTTAAATGTAAAAGTGTCAGACATCCCGAATAACTTTCAAAATTTAAGTTGTAGAAATTAATTTTTTGTGAAAAAGTCATTTTAAAACTTTTCCTGAGGGAAGGTAAAGGGTTATATTTATAAAAAAAATATATCAAATGAAAGATAAAGACATAAAATATCTATAAAAGAAATATTTGAGAGCAATGTTTTCAACTAGGTACGATTTGTGATCTTTTGACATATCGTTGAAAAAAATCCGTTCAGTGAGTATCGAAAATAAATGGTATCAGGCACAAAAAAAAAAAAGAAATAGTAAAATTAGTATCTTTTCAGCTTCGAAGCTAAAATGATATAGAAATGTCAAAATTTACTGATTTTAAATGTAATATTTTTAGTGGATCTCTCCATTTATGGAAAATGCAGGAAATTTTCTAAATTTTTGAAGATAATGTCTTTAACCCGATATCTTTTAGCTATCGTTCTATATAATCAATCCAGTGAGAATTAAGACTAAGAATTCAGATTAAGAATTAATTGTTGCAAACAAATAAATAAATAAACGAATAGTAAAATGAATACTTTTTCAGCTTACATTATAAGCTATAAAAAGTTCAATTAAGTAAATGGGGAAATTTTCATTGCTAAAATGATATAGAAATGTGAAATGTAAAATGTAAAATAAAAGTTTCAGTGCAATAAGTTAATTTCGAAACTTCTATACAAATATTAAACGAAAGGGTCAAAACTAAAAAATTATTCGTAATTAGTATACATTTATTATAATATAATAATAATATATTTTTTGAAGTTTATTACATAAATCATTCTCACTTAGTTTAAAAAAAATGTACTGGTTATATAAAAAATTGAAATCCTTGGTGATAGTCGAGTATATAAATGAAATAATTTTGTACAAATAATTANAAAATTGAAATCCTTGGTGATAGTCGAGTATATAAATGAAATAATTTTGTACAAATAATTACATTAACAGTCCAATTTCGTAAAGCTTAATTCTTTCGTTTTACTATATTGTGCGTTCTTATAAAACTTAACAAATTGTATTCTTACGAAAATATTTTTACCCCTAAGTATAATCATAGTAAGTATAAAAAAATTTATTTTTTAATTAAGTCCATTTTTTATAAAAAAAAAAAAAAATTTTTCTAAGGAAATCTATTTAATAAAAGATTAGTTCTTGTCTTTATTAAAAGTATAATGGATTTAAAAATTGTTCACAATACATTAAATAAAAGTAAAACATTATTCGAGTTACTAAAAGGATCATGGACTCGTGTAAAAAAATTATCTTCGAAAAAATGTAAGTAATTAAAATTAAAACTAAAAGTTTGTAGCTTAATTCTTTAACGAACTTTAGCAACTAATAAAAAGAGCAGTGTATGGACATTTAGCAAAAATCAATTACAGCAAACATATAAAAAGTGTTTCTGTTGTATCTGCATCAAACCTGATGCAAAACAATCAGACCACGAAAAAAGCCCTAAAGTTAATAGTAATAATAAACACGAAATTAAGAAAACGATAAAAGAAGAGATAGTAAATTTGACGATTCCATCAAATCTTGATGAGCTTAAAGCACGTATATTATGGTTTTTAATATTATTATAAAAATATTACCCGTTTAAAGTTGAATAAACAATACAGTAGCGGTATTTTGATAATAACATAATTGCGTTTCCCTAAAGAGAGTGCATAACGCAATTACCATTATAAGACTTTAACATCAATAATTTTTAAACTTATTAATCCACATTTTGAATTTTTTCTAATAAAGTTAATTATAATTATAAAATTAGATATATTCTTGGACTACCGTATTCAACACTTTAAAATCTACCCAAAGTGTTGAAAAAGTTGTGGAAACTCCTCCGCAAAAGAACCAAGAACCAAAAAAACCACTGTTTAGTCTACCACCAAAAACTGAAGCTAAAAATGTTTCGCCAGGTAATAACAGTTTAACTTTTAAAATATGTATTTGGTAAAGAAAAATGTTCAATTATAGCCAATACTTTATAAATTATTTTTCAGTGTGCCGTGGTATTAAAAACCAAGGGGCAACTTGTTATTTAAATTCTTTCATCCAAGTCTTGTTCCATACGCCGGAGTTTCGTAACGAGTTGTTGGAACTGACATTCCCTAATAATTCCGGTGACGACAATTGGTTTAACGTAGCTTATCAACTTCAAAGGCTTTTTGTAGAACTACTTGGACCTGACACATCGGCGGTCAAGACTAATGGCTTAACAAAAAGTCTTGATTGGACTCAGGAGGACACAGATATCCAGCAAGACGTCCAAGAGTTTGGTCGATACTTTTTGGGCATCTTGGACGAGAAGTTGCAACTTACATCGTCCGCTAACATGATTAGTCATTTATTCAGTGGCAAGTATAATGTATTTACTATAAAAATGAACATGACTGTTTTTTTAGACTTGATTAGTATTTTATTAGTTCATCGTGTTTACTATTCATTATCATTTGTCAGGCATTCAGGTCGAATACCTTACTTGTACTATGTGCAATAAAAGTAAAGAACAGTATTCCACATTTTAGATATTTCTCTGCCTATTCGCTCTATTGATGGAAAGACATCATATGACTCGCTGGTAAATATATATGCACCGTATTATATTTATATGTGTAATGTAGAAAAAGCAAAATTAAAGTTAAATTAATAAATTTGTTTTTTATATTAATATACTTGACTAATAGGAATATGCAATAGAACAATATTTAAGACCTGAAATATTAGACGAACATTTTTGTGACATTTGTGGAAAAAAAAGCAAATTTCTAAAGGGGCAACAATTTAAAGAGCTCCCATATATTTTATGTTTTCATCTAGGTAGGATTAGTTATAACATAAATAGTCTAAAACCTGAAAAAATAAATGACAAGTACGTAATGTTTATNACCTGAAAAAATAAAAGACAAGTACGTAATGTTTATATAAACGTAAAAAAAACATTGTTATGAATTTTTGTATGAAATTTTTTTGTCAGAGTATCTTTTCCATTTATCATTTCAATGGATGTGGATGGCTATAATTCCATATTTGAATTATACGGAGTGATCATTCATAAAGGTGAAGCCACTTTTGGGCACTATTACTCATACATAAAAGATTTCAAGTCGGGACAATGGTTTGAATGTAATGATGATATTATTACTCCCGTAAGTATTTACATTTTTTGAAAAATAGCACAATTATGAGATTATAACCATTACACAGATACCACCACATAAAATTGAAAGTACTTTTAACGGAAAATCAAGCGCATATATGATAATGTATCGACTTTTTGATAGAAACAGAAATCGAGAAGCTTACACAATCGATGAACTCCCAGCGCATTTGAAGTATTTAAACAATATTTTTATTTATGTATCCATTTAATTATAACCGTGTAATTTGTCACAAAAAAACAGAGTTCAACTGAGTTATTAGTTATATGTTGAATTTCCTTGAGAAGAGCTATGACTTCAGTGGTATAAATTAGGCATGCTATACGAAATATTTGCATTTATGTTCTAAAATAAAACGAAGAATAAAAAATAAGAAATATTTATAAAATGTTAATTAAAACTACAATACAATTTACTATGTCATTATTTAAAAACTTTTATTATTTGTACTTTTGTATTTCAATAAAACATTTATATTCAACTAATTATATGTAGTTTAAGTTTTACTTAGGATAAATTTATCAAAGAATTAAATCTTGATTAAAAAGCTACTACATTGAGCATGTTATAAAATACAGATTTATTACAACCACTATTAATATCATAAAAAATAATAAACAAAATATAAAATCAATTGGTTTTAAAATATTTTTTTGATTTTGTAGTATTTAATTTATACTTTGATAATGTTTTTTATAACAAATTTTTTTTTATAGAACCCATAATAATATTAAAGAAATTATTAGNTGTTTTTTATAACAAATTTTTTTTTATAGAACCCATAATAATATTAAAGAAATTATTAGAATCATTATTCTGCCTTTTCTTGTTGTCAACTGAAAAATAAATATCCTACTACTATTTTTAAAGGAATTTTAATTACAATTATGACAAAAAAAATTATGTATATTACACTTGAGGACTGATAGAGTAATTACTCTTTCAATAAAATGAAAAATATTGCCGGTAGTATTTTATATAGTTACACTTTATAAACACGTTTATTTTAGCTTCAATTTTTATTTGAGAAACTTTTGGTTTTACTCTGCTATATTTTTTATTTCTTGTGTCACTATACACGATTATTCCACTTCTACTTGACAGATTTTGCTCGACAATAAATCAAAAGATCACAAAACGTATCTTGTTGAAGCAATCAGTAACATAATTACAAAATAATCTTTTAAATTCCCATGATAAAGGGAAATTCTTCAAAAAATTATAATTGCTATAGTCAATTATGATTTATTTTTTGTACTCATTGAATGCTTAAAAATAAGTTACTTTTAAAAAACCAAATAAGAAATTTAATTTAGAAATATTAGAAATAAGTCTGAGAATTCTAGAATCAAAAGGATTGGGTTAATACAATTTGATTAAAAGTTGTTAAGAACTTTTATCTTCGATGCGAAGCTGATATGATACTAATTTCTATGTTTGTTTTTTTTTTTTTTTATTTATTTATTTTTTTTTGTGTCTGTTACCACTTTTTCTCAGCTCTCACCGAACCGATTTTTTTCAACGATATGTCAAAAGATTACAAATCGTATCTAGTCGAAGACATTACCGTCAAAAATTGAAAAAATTTCCTTCGTTCTCCGTAAATGGGAGAACTTCCAAAAAAATTACAAATTTAAAAGTTCCTAATTTTTAAAACTTTTTAAGCTAATGTAATGTACTTTATTATGGAAAAAAAAATGTTGACATAATTTTGTCTTCATGGTGAAAATGGCTACCAAATGCTATTTTTGTGTGAAAATTCTCGATTTCATTTTTACATGTTTTAACTTTATAATGCTCTAACTTATTGAAAAGTGTATGTATCAACACAATTTTTGTTTGAGAAATAATATTTATATCCCTCTTTCATTTGATATACTTTTTTTTTTATATTACACCATTTCCCTTTATATAATTATATAATATAAATCCACAGAAATGCATTAAAGCGTTTCTTATGACTTAAATGATTTTAATCACTGTCAGATATCATTATATTTGATTCAACTATGCCACGACACCACTGTGTCACCACGACCCTCCTGTGCTGGGTTTTGTTTTCATTATTATTTTATGAAAAAAATATTTTGTCAGGAAATTTTATTCCATTCTATAAACTATACACAGTATGATCAATATGAATATCATTTATAAGATTTAATTCGTATATACGGGAAGAATAATTAAGACTAAAACAAAGCGTAAAAAATAATTTATGTATTATAATTTTCTGTTCCNCTTGATTCAACTATGCCACGACACTACTGTGTCACGACCCTCCTGTGCTGGGTTTTGTTTTCATTATTATTTTACGAAAAAAATATTTTGTCAGGAAATTTTATTCCATTCTATAAACTATACACAGTATGGTCAATATGAATATCATTTATAGGATTTAATTCGTATATACGGGAAGAATAATTAAGACTAAAACAAAGCGTAAAAAATAATTTATGTATTATAATTTTCTGTTCCCTCAGCGTTACAAATTTCTACAAAAGAAACCATTATAATCATCTTGTATAACATCCTTCAAAGAAATACAAAAATCATATGCGTATGTTGTACACAGCTACAAGTTTCTTGTACGTGGGTAGGTAAATTATATTGCAATACCTAAAATATTTTAATGAGAGTAAAATTAACAACAACTAAGAATGTAAAAAACTATTCATTTTTTCAATACTATTTTTATATTAGAGAAAATTCATCCGTTTACAGTATACTTTTTTATCGTGACTTTAATACACGGATGCAGGATAAATTTATGAATGCGACGGTTACTTTTATGTGTTTCTCAGTAAACGAATTGTTTTGTGGAGGTATATTACTAATAAAAATTTTGACATATTATTTTCATAAGAGCTGTTAAACATACGACTCAGTGAATAATAACGATAATGCCTATTGGACGGAGGAAGGGTAGTTATGAATGATAATATAGTTTGTGTCAACCGGTAGCGAGTAGTTTGCATAAAACATACGAGCCCGACATGACGGCGATGGGATTGAAAACAAACCGCCGGCTTTCTGCCAATAGCTTGTCCTCATAATAAACCCTCATAATGAAAATGGATTGCCTGGCAACAGAAATGCTACTAAGACACGCGATAAATGCGGCAGTTTTGTTCACAGACTTAGCAATGCATTATAACGTATGATGTATGATAATAATTTTTCAACTGATTATATTAAACTGACTTGCGGTTATCTCCGTTATACAGACAAAAGTCGACTTAAGTTATAATTACTACACTTGTTATAATTATTTATTATTTGTGTAACTGTTTTTATATCTGCTGTAGACTATTATCTTTTTGACCTATCCGAGTATGAGGTATGAAATGCCTATATAAGTTTTCTTTGCTTATGCTCATAACAAGACTTATATGAATTTTATGATTCATTTCTGAATGGTCAATAATTTAAAGTGCAATAGTAATGTGTATTGAGTATATTTTTATGAACGAATAGAAATGAAAGGAAGAACAATTGGTCATGTTCTAATTTAGATATTCCCATGCAAATAATATCGTCTAATCATTCCATATTAGTTTTTCGTAGATATGATCACATATTTTTTTTTTAATCAATAAAATATCCGAATCTTTACCTAGTTAACTCTTCCATTTCTATTTTATCTTTGGACACACTTTCTCCTAATACAATATCATTGAATTATTTGAACCTTGAATTCTGTCCTTCGTTTTATATTTGATTCCGAGTGGTTGTCGATTTCATCAAAAAGAGACGTTTAATATTTGATTCAAAAACGATTTACTACTGTATAACTACTTAAATATACGAAAAACTAAAAAAATGTACTAAATTAAAAGTACTGTCACTTTTTTATGATCAAGTAAAATTTTACAATCACCGAAACAAATTTTATTCCAGTGGGATAAATTATAATTGATAGTAAGATTATATTACATTATTATACCATTTATTTTATTTCAGTATTATTCTATGACGATTAGTTAAATAAGAGTTCTATACATTTTCATTAATAAATATGTCGTAATAGTTTGTTTGTTGTTGAACGGAAAGAAAATCAAGTAGCTGAAGTTATTCTGCACCTAAATGGTACTCATACTGTACTCGTACATGTTCAGGAACACTTGGTCGTGACGTCTTAATAAACTCTTATGAAAAAAAGGGAAATCGACATTGATTTATTTAATACGTCGATGGTAGATCAACGTCCATGTTGCTGTGTGTATCCGTAACGTTAGATCCATTTAATCACCGCCGGCTTCTCAAGGTATCTTCAAAAATTATAATAATATGACGTTCACATTAAAAAGGGTTGACTCAAAATGTCTTCATTTTAAGCACATCATGCCACTGAGTCTACTTCTAACGTACTACGCATTCTACACGTATTATATATCATAATGTCATATGGGTATGCATAGTATTATATCACATAATGAAATAATAATATCTATAATAATGGTCGAAAACCAACAATTGTTTCGTAGGACTAGCGAGCAATCAAGTGTTTTATTATTACACTTGGATGTACGTTTTATATTACATATTGTACTCCTACGCCAGGACAAGGCAAACTGACGACATGTGCTTACCTCTGGTCGTTTTAACACATACAAACACACATGATCGCTGTAAGAATAAAAGGCATATAAAATGAAATACGACAGATCGTTTTTAAAAAATAATTACTCCATCACAACATTGTTCGGTTGCAGGACCGCTCGACCAATGCGTACAAAAAGTACCGGTGAACCGATAAAATAAAATAATAAGCCACAGAAACTTGTTGATTTTATGGGCTTGAGTAATAAGTATAAAAATAAAACTATTTTTCTCATCGCCCGTCGTTAACTTAGCGATGAACTGTTTTGAATTTAACTCACAATGTGCATGTGTATTCACAAGACACTGCAGTTATAATGCAGTCCATTGACCCAAGTTGAGACGAGAGTGACTACACAAAGATGAAATGAAAAAATGAAAACTAGGGATGGCGCTTTCGTTTTCGTTTTGTGCCGACAGCGACTGTAAGCTAGTCGTTTGTGATGGCCGTGTACATTTGCATGGTCAATGTGAGATAGCGCAGCATTGTCTACAAAATATCTATAATAATAATGCTATATTATGAATAATATATTCACTGAAAGCACTACTATTTATTTTAACGTTAAGCTTTTTATACACATCAAATTGTACACAATTATCTATACTATCTGCATAATGTGTGAAGCAATTGAATTGGCCGTGAATGTACTATATTTTAATAATTTGATTAACTAATTTTACTTCCAAAGCACGAAATCGTTATGAGGATGACTTACTGATGACTAATAAATAGTTGTGAACGCTTTACACTTATCCGATAATAATTTGTAAATAAAAATAAAATATTACACAATGTAAATTTTAAATATATATATAAAAGTCTGAGCGTTGGTTAACATTTTATTGCTGTACAATAATAATTTGTTAAAACTCATTTATAATTACACAACTACCATAACATCTATCAAGTTATCTGACTCAAATTAATGTAAATTTTAGTCTCTTGTTGTGTGTTTAGTGAAGTACATAAAAATGTTATAAAATTTCAGGTTCACAAACACTAAACAAACATTTTATTAAATTCTAAACTAATTCTAAAGTTCTGTGGTGCTGGGGTAAAAGAGCTTGAGTTCAAAATTAATAATTTCATAGCCCTTCAAAAAAGTGTATTTTTTTTAAATATTATAATGCATGTAACCTCATTTATGCAATTTTTGTACTTAAGCCGTTTTTACCCGATCACCTTAGAATTATTCACACTATTTTTTTATTTTTTAGTTTTCGATAAAAGTACCAAGTAAAATTATAACATTAATTTCACAAAAAAAAAAAAAAACACATCTTGTTTGCTTGTACTGAAAAACTCTTTACTTTCCTATATGTAATATCATCTTAAAAGTCTTTTAAGCCATTGCTTGCTAACAAAATGTTTGGTGTTTTATATCAGTAATTAAATATTATTGAATTTATGGCCGCAGTCGTGATGAATTCAATGACTTTCTTTTATTTTTCTTTCTTTTATATGTAGACCTTTGACATACTGAGAACCAATATAATACAAAGCTGTCAGACTGCAGCCGAAGACATGCACTGTGGTATAACAACCACAATCAAATGACGCCTAACGTAATTAAGGGCGATCGAAAATAATGAATACAAGCCGCACTTTACATGATAGTCAGATATTTACTCGTAAGACATATACATCATAAGTGTTTAAAATCTACTCCACAATGTAAACGTGCCAGTTGAATGTCAAGAAAAATCAATTATGCGTACTTAAAGACTTTGGTTATTTTTTACACGACAGTAGAACGACTTCATGATTTAACAATGTTGTCCGTGAGTGCTTACACGCGAATTCCAGTCTGGATCAATATCTTATTTTTGTTCTGTCTGTACTATATCCGTCTTATATCAAGGTCCCGTGTGACAATTTACAAGTTATGAGGAGTTACGACTTTGAACGGTAACATTGAGACATTTTTTTTATGATTTAGTAACATGATGACGCACGTCAATAGCCAACGATAAATAAGGGGGATGCCTTTATTAAAAGTGATTATCATTTTTTTTTTTGTAAATTTCTTGTATTTTTTTATTACAGTGGATTGTTTCTTAGTTTACAAACACTTATTACATTCATACAGAGAACATATTGTCGCTCACTCGACTAAAACCCTATGCCCTTCAGTCTTTCCAGTTTATCAACGCAGCTTATTCTGCTTTTGGAAACTAGAATCTTGCTTAGAAGACAAAACAATTGGTCACATCAAGCAAGATACGGGGAGGTCGTCACGTTCTTGAAACATTGTGTTCTAGCAACTACAAAACAAGCCCTAGTTTCTCTTTCTTTTTTTTTTGATCCCACTTTCTTATTCGACTGCAAGTCAAAATATAATGATGACATTAATAATAAGTGTCCAATGTCCCATGGCAATGAAAGAGAGATACCAGTATCATTAAATGACAATTAATCAAGGTCACATAGGATAAACTATTAAACACGGACTTGATGTACATACGTTCTTATATTTTATTTTATCATTATTAAAACATAAATACAATAGATACGAAAGAATCACTTCGTAACGTATATTAAAATTATAGTAGTAAGGGTATGGAGGATTAGGTATTGACAGAAAAAAATGAGAGTAAACGCTACTCTGTTTACAAATTAAAAGTACGTAAATTATTATTACAATATTACTACAATTATCTGGTATGTATACGTATAATAATATTTATATATAGATAAAAATATATTGATCACATCGTTGATATAATTATCATTATTAAACAACAACAACGTTTATTTGATCCGCTCGACTTTCAACGGTGAAATCACTGTCCGTCTGAGCGCACAGCGTAATTAACGTTATATAATATATACAATTTATATAATTATCATTATTATTATTATTATAAGTAATTAATTCTACAAAAAAAAGTATCAATAATAATAATGACGAATTAAGTAGTCTAAAATTAAAATATAAAACAACGAAATATATAAATAATTTTATACAATAAACATATAATTAAACTAATCTTGTTAAGAAAATGTCATACGAAGATTTGGATCGTTTTTCTGTACTACTCCCCACACCAGCTCGATTTTCGTCTAATTTACAATGGTACGCATGTTTGTTACAAAAAAAAATTTACAAGTTAGTCTGTCATTATGATTCAACAACTAAAATGGTGAACCTACAAAACGCAGTAAAGCCCAATGTCTGCAAAGAAATTTACACTAAAAAATATCAAGGTTTGAAACGTATTATGTACTATTTAAATGATATCAAATAACAATAACAACCCTTAAAGTTTAACTTCACGAGCGGATGACTGCTAATTAAAGGATACGTCTACCTAATGACTTTGTGGTACCCATTAGATACAATTTGGGTTTCACTACGTTATGTATAAAATCATTATAATTAACATGTATGCAAACTATAAAATCAATCTACAAAATGATTGCTTAATCTAATTAATACTGGTCATAGATAATTATAACCAATTTTATTAATAATAAAAGTTATGATATAAAAATAAAGACTTGGGAATACGTTTCCACACATGTCAAGTGTGTCAGTCAAGAACAACATAATATTATTAGAATCTATATTATTTTTATTTTTCGTTTTTTGTTTAAAACCGTCACGGACGTGGCTGTCTTGCCATATCTAGTCCCAATCGCCGACGTACATTGGAGTCCTGTGACCTGCCGGTATGTAACCTCTGGTGGGTATGGGCAGGCGGCCGTATATGTGATTGTAAGGTGAATCGAATACTTCGGCATCTGCAAAAGAACCATAAGAGAGTGTAATAGAAAGCCGTTTTAGTTATAATAGCTAAATTATATGCGCATTAGGCCTAATGCGTTTTATTTGTTCAGTTCAAAAGCGTCAAAAAACTAATCGATCAATCGGAAAATCGTATACTATACTATAGCAGTATAATGTGTAATTATGTCGTTTAAAGGCGGCTGCGAGTATTCAAGAGATTATACCAAACAGCTATACGCTCAACAGTTGAACGCATTATCATTTTAAACGGGTTTCCGAGAGAATTGCGCAATATAGCCGTACGCGAACTAGTCAGTCTTACATGGAACGTTAAAAAACCATATGTATGCTAAAAATTGTTATTACACTGACGGTGTATTGATTTACCCTGTTAACATCTCTAATGGAAATACTATACAATTGAACGTAGTAAACACAGACTGTTAACTATTTTTTTTTTATAATATATTTCATTTGTGAAGACATAAGCCTACTCGGTATTACTATTATATTGCTTCCGAAGACATTTACAGCTATGAGGATTAAGGACATAATAAAAACTGAATTTCTTAGCGACTTCCACGAATATTGAAAATAAAATAGTTTTCAAACAGGTTCTTAATTTTTTTCATTTTGAGAGTTAATTAAGAATTGGTGCCTAATAATAGATAACAGAGTTTAATGGAAATTTATATTTAAAATAGGAGATTAATTTTTTTAAACTCTTCTCGCATCTAATTATTATTTTTCATACAATCGAAGCTTACCCATTCCACTGTCGAAGCTACGTGTGTGCCACATAGCAGGTTGTATTTGGTGGTGATAGTGTACGGCAGCGGATAGGTGACCGTTCGACAGAGCCATCGTGTTTTGTTGGTACCTGGAAGGGGGCACTGCTGTACTGAGTTTGTGGCTAATCAATATTTCTTTGGCATCCTTAGTCTTTCCATTTGACGTTTTTACAAAATTCGGAACTCTTGCTCTTAGCCCACAGTAATAGGGGTCGTCTGAAAAATAAATACTAAATTCAATATCATCACAGAGTCTACAGGTTAATTTAATAATTCGTACGTGATTAAATCATAAAAAGTAATTATATATAGATGTGGCGGGTCGCTTAAAAAGTACCAAAATCAAATGTCAAGGTACGGGATGCCTATTCTTTTAGTGAAAGTCCCGCGGGAAGCCGGTTTCAAGCGCACTGTAGCCTTTCACCTGTTTCTACAACTAAAATAAACCGGTAATTCGAGGGTATTACACGCTATCATTACAACAATATTTATATATTATTATTATTATTGCTATTTGCAATTATTTCAATATTTGAATATTGGCATAAATAAAAAAGGACGACGACATTCACGGATCAGTCGAGAGAGATGATGACGCCTTTCTCAGGGACGTGACGAACCGCACCTACCTCAAAATTGCTTGAGCGATCATTTTTGATATTAACTTTATCATACCTTTTTGATACTATTATTATTATTTTTATTTTAATAATAATTCTAACGATATTAAATAGCACTTAAAGGAAAAGTAATAAAGCAAGGCTATAAAATTGCTTTCGCGTGAATTTAGTAGATTAGAGCGTTTTGAAACCGCTTGTGCTAACACGGTCATCATCAGTACAAGTGTTGGGACCTTGGCTATAAATATCAGTTTCGTTTTAGCTTACATGGACCGTCAGTCACTCATTTATTTTAATAAACGTGTATCGTCTATCGGCTATCAAATGTTAAGCTGGTCGATTTTAATAGTAAAAAGGACTTAAAACTGCACAACGACAGCTGTTGTGAGACATATTTCATTGAGTTCAACAAAGTGATAATGTTTTCCAAATAGTATGTGACGGACTAAATGTATTGTATTGTTTTGTTTACAGAATATGAAATTAAGTCGTACACTCTTGGATATTTTATTATAATAATATGCAATCTAACTATTGATAAAATTGTATGATGTCAACATCCAATCCCTTGATCTTTTGTTTTGATTTATACTCAAATTAAAAAAACAATTTTGGTATTTACCGATTTAAGAAAATAGTGCAAATAATTACCATATTTTTTATTGTCCTTGACTTTATCTTTTCCTCGGGATGAGGTAAACTGCTTCATGCCATTTATCAATCGGTTTTCTTCTTCTTCGATGTCATCATAGTCAGGCTATAATTATGTAGTCGTAAAAATTACAAAAATATTTGACATTAATATAATATGATGTTATGGTACTTACCTTAGGAATATCATGAGGGTACGGGTTTGATGGATCCCTTGGTGGTAATTTTGGCGGTTTATCTCCACGACGATTTGCAGTCTGCATCATCAGCTGTTCTCTGTTTGCCGCAGTCATATTAGCGCCCGCTATGCTGTACGGGTCTTCGTCCGGAATCGGGATTCTCGGCCGGTTCTTGATATCCACAGAGCGTTTCACTGCGTAAACAACAATAAAAACATTCGTATGATAATAAATATAATGAAAAAGTGAACAAACGTCCACAACTACCACCGGTTAGGACGTTGTGACGACGTATCCGGTTTTAATTCCTTTTTTTTTATGACGCGCGCGGGCATTCGTTTTAGAATCCATAAATCGATGGAAATTGATCAGTGTATTTTAAAAATGTACATATATTTTTGTGCCAATCACCTTACCGTCCGACCTCCTTTTTAAGAGTATTTTAACCCCGGAGCATTTCCCAGATACATACGCACAAATACACGCATGCGTACACTAATCTTTCCACTATACCCTGTATTGACCACATGAAGATCTTGTTGTTCTCGCGTTCCATCTTTGTATCATAAGTCATGACTATGATACGCATCTGTCCAAAGCATAACGGTTTCACGGTTAATGCGACTCTTAAATGTGCAACATCGTACTATCAACGCCAAAATGAACCAATTAAAAATAAGAAGAATCTTATGCTTATCTTATGAACCACTCTGGCTACCCTCGATGTGCTCGCGAAAAGTTTATGTACTAAACAAAAGCATGCCTGAGACATTGTTGTGCGACCACCCATTATGTTGATGTAACTAAGTACCGTACACCGATCGCAAGAGCGTGTCCTTGTAAGAGAACACGGCCGTGTTGTCCTTTCGTGATGACCCACATAATCACTTATGTCAGGCGAAACAGTTTTTGCCACTGATAACAAAATAGATGCGTAGAAACATCAATTTGATACCAACCTCATTACTCAATAAATTAATTTGATCGAAATTTTAAGAAGAAAAAACAAACAGGAAACTTATATTTGAATAACTCAAAATATTATTTTAATTTGCACTTGACCATATCAGAAACATTTCAAGACGTTTCGATATTACATGATTCAATTGATACTATAAGGTTAAAGACTTTTTTTAATGACTAATTGAAATTCATATTTAAACGTGGGCATTTTTAAGATTGATGTCTGACGATAGTTAAAAGGAGTGTAGGATGAAACTGATAATATTATTTCTTCTATGTTATTGTAAGTCAAAAAGTACTGCCAACTTCTGCAAATCCTACACTTACTCGAAACTTAAATCAATATTATTACAAAGGCTAAGTAACTGAACTTGAGTGTAATAGTTAGATTGTAAAAAAATAAGTAAATACACTCTTTGGTAAATTTAAGTTATACAGAGTGTTCAGTAAGTCAGGAAACGGGTTTCTATTGTTCTCATTGTTTGTTACTGAACACCCTGTATAATACAATTACTTAAAAGACCGATTTTAAAATTCAGATTTAATTTGTGTTTGGAGTGATTATAACATTCATAATATATGCAAAAGCCCACCTAAAAAAAAAATGTTGACTGTTCTGAGGGCTGTTTTAATTTGAAAATGATTTTTGTTAAGGAAAATAAAATTTTGATGTAGTTCAGTGACCTATTAGTACGGGTTTGTGTGGTAGACTATCAAAAGAAATGAATTGTCGCCGTAGTAATGATGGGAACCTTCGGGGCTACTAATCAAATAGGTCCTGTGACCAATCAAAATAATATATAAAAAAATAATTTTTTTGTGGCTAATATTATTTTAAATTAAATATATAATAATAATATTAATTTAATGTGCATTTTTTTAGTAATTTTTGTGGTTTTTGAAGCTCAATATATTTTAACTTTTAAAGAATATTTTGTTTATATTTTTCTGCGGATGTTCATTTGGTGTATTAGGGAGTACTATAAAAACGAATTTCTTAATATTTTGTTGCTATAACTTAAATATACGTAAACGGTAAACTTGATTTGTTTACTTTATGTGAATTACACTTGAATTGTGTATTTTGCTGACTAATAAACTGATATCTCTTTATTACTTTAAGCAAACCCGCTTACTTGGTGGCAATTTCGATTTGAGCATATCCATGGCTACGACGTTTATGATTAGCACCCATATTGGGCTTTCCAACATGTCTTGTTCATTTTTAACAAAGCTGATGGCACTTAAACATTGACATTCCAAACGCCTTCTGTCTGGATAAGCTCTTCGTAGTTCTCTAGATACGTTCTGTTGGAATTTTTTCATGTCAAACAACTGCGAAAAAAAAAAAGAAAACCCTCATAATCGTTTTTTCAAATAGAGTCTAGAAATTTTATAATATTTTTTTTTATTATTACTAAAAGTTGGCACCTGAATGCACTACGATAGACGACTATTTAGTTATAACTAAAAGTTTTGCCACCGTGCGAATATTTTCATTGATAGTTGTATGACTATGTTGAGTGGAATTTGTTAATAGCAAAAACAATTATCAAATAAATACTATACTCTGGAGGTGGTCGAACTAATTATCGGGGTGGCGAAAATTAGCATTCAATGAACTCAAATGTATATGAATCGAACGACAACAAAAAAGAGAATATTGATAATAATAAAAGAAAAAAATCTGTAGGTATTGTTCTACACTCCTCTACGTTGTATTTGACCTTCGCGAGAAAATCTTATCTCGATCGAAGAGTAACACCCCAAGCAAAAAAAGTGTGTTTATTTGTATCGGTCTGTTGAATCATGTAACAGTCTAAAAAAGTGTTTATGCTCGGTCATAGGCTAGATTTCATTCACAAATGTCAAAAAAACCCAAACGATAACTGCCGTGTTGTTCTTAGACACGTATTAAGTATGAATAATATATTGGTAATTTAGTCGATTTTGAATAGTTTAAGTTGTCGAGAGAACAATAAAGTGGAAGTGAATTATTTTTTTTGGAAACTATTGATGTATAACTGCTTAATACTATGGATGTAATTATGAAATAAACAAAGGTGGAATATTTAAGCTGACAGCTAAGAATTATCGTCTATAAATCATATTGAAATTACTCGATAAGAGTTTTGAATATAATATATTCTTCATAACTACTTAAAATTTAATGAAATAATGCTTTTTTTTTTATAATTTTAGTAAAGATCTCAATTTTTTATAGTTTAATGTGAAAAAGTCTGATGAAACTACATCTGACGTAAAACAATTAATACAATGGAGTACTCTTAGATACATACGAGAGACTTGTAAGTCTGTTACTACTCTATAACGCTTATATACAATTGTTTTTTCATCTTAATAAAACTTAACAAATAACAGCATTACTTATAAGTTTTATTTTATTCTATTGTTCCTGCGTTCAGTTTCACATGATTGTATTAACACTAGGTAATAAAATATAGCAATGCATCTTGATACAACATACACTAGCCTAAGACATTATCTCTTAACCGTACAAGCACCTAACGTTATTTTGGTCCACGGATTGGTTGTCTCTTTTATGTACAAACCATAAATAATAATAACTATACGGCCAAAGATAATACAGTAAAACAGCTCTCATATCCACCTGTCGTGTTGTCTCAGCTATTTTCTGTATCAGTTGTACAATGTCTCGGTCAGATACAATGTAAACATAACGTCGCCTATTGTAAACGGTCAACTGTTATTCAATGACTTTTTAGGTCTTTTTTTTTTTTGCAAGCACACTGCACCGAGTTAATATAATTAGATTTTGCAGGGTCATTTTTAACAATGACCGCACATTTCCTATGTTATTATTTACCTTAACCGGTTTGTCGTTTTCCAGACAGTAGTTGGGTAATTTGAGCACGTCCGCTCCGATGCTGGTTTCTTCTCCAGCATTTGATACGCTTTTAACATAAACGTTTTTTCCGGATAGCCTTTTCACTAAAATGTTTCCTTGGTCGTCCATTTTTACTTTTACACCCTAGAAAATTACAAAAAACAACTGTACAAAAAAGGTGCCAAACACTATCGTTTACGTGATTTCACAGATAAATATATTTTTGCTTGAGGAAGATTTTAAGAGGATATTAAATTGCAGTTGTTATTTTGTTTTTTACTTACAAGGCCCACTTGTTTTTTTACTTCTTCGGTCTTAGGATCACGCATAGGATTGTCAAAGCCATTTACACCGATTCTGAAACAAGTTAAATATATAATGAAATACTTCAAGTTAAACAAATTTATGCTTATGAATTCTATTATAAATGGATAAACATATTAGTGGTTATAAATGTATTCATATACGAGTATAATATTTTCTTCGGTTATAATGCATATATGTAATTTAGTCATATTAACTTCTGGTGTTGATGTAATAAAAATTAAATAACACATAGAGTTCTTACCATTTATAATGTTTAGCTTAATACTAACAAAAAAATTTATTAATGTAATATAGTACCAAAGATGTTAATACCTAAAAGTATTTTTTGCTGTTTGTTTAATTATTTTGTATTAAAGGAAATACTATTAGGATACGGTAGAAATTTAATTGCGTGATTCGTTAAATTTTTTGGGAAGGATACTACGTTGTATTTACAACCATTCAAATCATGTCCCCTTGAGTAACTGTATAGAAACCGTGTTACTTTAACATTTTACTATGATTCACAAAAGTGATATACTTAGACGGTAACCTTGGGCTAAGTATAGTGCAAGTTGTAGAACGCGAGAACATCAATTTCGTAATGTCACAGAAATGTAAGATTGGTATGAAATATGATCATTCTCACGAACGCGGCACTCCGACATTATCACAATGACTACAATGGTAAAGCCGTTCTACTATAATATTAGGAGCACGATAAAAACGTGATCAAAATGTACCTGTGGGCTGTGTAATATTATAAACGATCCAGTTAAAAATATTAATTGTATAATCTTCATAGCGGTGCCCAACTAACTAGATAGCGGCTACATGTGTTTGTTCTGCGAATTGCATGTCGACCGTAGCTAATATAAATGTTATGCACTTGAGCTTCAAATCAAATGTGTTACATTTACGGTATACATAACAAGGTATTGAATGAAAACTTCTTATTTAATTTAAAAATTACTACTACTATAGCGTCGAATGGTTAATCAGATCGCATAAGAATAATGGGCACTCCATTTTGCGGCCTGAAACGTATTTATCTTTGAAGACAAGACGTTGTCCTCGATTTACAGTACTCGAAAATGCACAATCATTATTCGTAGTCAAGTTGTATTGATCGATTTGATCTAATTTTTCTTGTGGTTAAGTGTAACAATACGAAAACAATGTACCTAAGCACAATTTGTATTGTGTATCAAGGCTGGTAGCAAGTGTACTATTAAAAAAAACAAAAAATTGGTGTGTTTTAACGATTGGACGGTGTTGACAAACGGTACNGGTATTGAATGAAAACTTCTTATTTAATTTAAAAATTACTGCTACTATAGCGACGAATGGTTAATCAGATCGCATAAGAATAATTGGCACTCCATTTTGCGGCCTGAAACGTATTTATCTTTGAAGACAAGACGTTGTCCTCGATTTACAGTACTTGAAAATGCACAATCATTATTCGTAGTCAAGTTGTATTGATCGATTTGATCTAATTTTTCTTGTGGTTAAGTGTAACAATCGAAAACAATGTACCTAAGCACAATTTGTATTGTGTATCAAGGCTGGTAGCAAGTGTACTATTAAAAAAAAAAAAACAAAAAATTGGTGTGTTTTAACGATTGGACGGTGTTGACAAACGGTACATCCGAGGTTCAATGCGTGCGACAGTGGCGGATTTCCCAACGGCAGCGTCTGCGGTTGTGGCGGTACGCGCGTTGGCGGCAGCTACAGATCCGTTGCCGTGATTTAATTACCATTGAGCAACGGGGCTGCGTGATGGAAGTAGATAGAGTTGCTGCCTCTCTCAGTTTGCACGTTTGTTCATGAGTTTGCGGTCTATATTTATATATATATATAATATATTATATATCAAGAACAACAAGGACGCGACATTATGCAATACTGACCCAGTCCACAGCACTTTCACCGTGCGTGGAGTACTAGGTACACCCAGATCCCCATTGTTTTGCTGTAGCCGCCGCGTTAATACGATGAACAATAATTGCACTGTGATTAAGAGAAATAACAAACAGTTCGTTCCATTAAAAATAATAATTGGAGCTGCTACGGTTTAAATATAATTGAGCATTGTTTTGTTGAAATTCGAGAATTTCTTTTACATTTATGTATAAATTAAAACGAAACTTCAACGTATATATAATTTACACGCAGACTGTACTCATTAACGATCGTAACTGACATAAGAGCTTATGGCATATGAGCTATTTAGAATTTATTTTTATTAATTAAAATATAAACAGTAGATACACACAAAGATTATGGAACGTTATAATAGTTCGGTAACCAATCATTTTTTAGTAAAGATATTCGTTATTATTACTATTCTTATATTTTAACATTTAAATGCGCGATTAGATTTATTCGTGTATCTTTAAATGCCCCGAGAGTAATTTATGCGGACTTTTATATAGAGTTTTGCAATTAAAGATGATGTTTTAATGATCGCGACAACTTTATTTTAGGAACTATCTGATTTTATCTTCACATGATTTGCATATCGCATAACAAATGAAACTGTGTGGGTGAACAATCAGCGTGATTGTAATTTAATAACCGAGTGTAATAATTGTAAAGACTAAATTTTGTAGAAAATAAAAACTATGGATGACGGTGCGGATGGTTATCGGTTATAGGTTTCATAATTACATGTTTTTTGATGATCAGCCATTGTTGACAAGCAAAACACTGTGTCATTACACAAGTTATTATACCTAAACGCATAATCGTTGATATTCTAAATACTATACCTGCTTAAACTGAAGCTATTAACTACGGCTTTCGATAATGAAAAATTAATTGAATGGTAGTACAGGAAGAGAAACGCGACTGATCTTTACACACCCACAAAATAATAAATGAAACTCACAGATCAGTGAGTTTGCAAATAGTGATTATCGACATTGCTGTTGCAGATCTGACCAGAGTTCAAATGTAAACTATAAATTTCTAACATTTTAAAAACATCAAACGGTTAAAAACATAAGCTTTCTCATGTAATGTACATGTAAAGCAAATTTCGCTATGGTTGAAACGTATATAATATCTTGTACCTTCTTATTATGTCCAGTGAATTGTATCTGGTACAAGTTTAAGAGGTCACTGTTAATTTGATAGCGCGCTGCCTTAGGATTATATAAGCCCTCAGTATTCGATAACGGAAGATAACATTTAAATAGAAACTTGTTAATATCATTTTATACTTGATCTGTTGCGGAAGAAATGAGTTGTGGACAGAGTTAAGTAAATGAATTGTAAATATCAATAGTGTTTGAACAAAAGTTTCAGTTACATCTCGAGGCGTTGGTATACTCTACATTTTCTGTTTTAAGAACTATACTTGTTGACCGTCATCGTTACAATAACAAATGAAATGGCTTGCAGCGGGCAATAAAGCATTAACAAAATAAATAGGCTGTGTTACCGCATTGCTAACAGTATAGGTCATATATTGGTTTTGGTAGCTAATGAACGAAACGGGTGGAAGTAAATAAAAAGGGCAGTAGGCCAAACTAAACGCTGAACTTTGTTACTTATGCTATTCATTATGCACACATGCACAAACGTGGGAATAATGGATTTCGATGTTGCTTTTTGAATAGATTTATTGTATAATAGGACAAGTACTATAGGTGCAAATAATTGAAAATAGTGATTTGCGAACTAATAGTGGTTCAAAGATATTACATCCTTTATGCAGTATAGACGATGGGGCAACGAGCAATTCGGTAGCGACGTTCTATTTATGTTTCTGTTATTGTCATATTGTATAACATATCAAAATTACTGCCGTAAACAACTGTGCAACGTTCTAATAAGCTGTCACAGTATATATGGAGAACCGTCACGATTACTATTTTTGTTACAATTAAGCAATTATAATAAACACCCGTATTTGCTAAGTCACGTGTCCGTCTTTCTCAGCAAAACTGAACCGTGCCTTACTAGGTGCATTGTTGATTAATTAAAACTTTTCGAGTAGTTGAGGATTTACAGTGTAATCGGTTTTACAGCCCATTAGACATTAATCAAAAATCAAATTGCAATTTCGTACCGTGCACCCAACCATGCGGTTGTATGGTGTTTTTTTAATATTTTGTTGATTAAAAACGGAGAACCAATATTATTTTTCATTTAAATTTCATTCGTCGATAGTCAGAGTGAAAGCAAAATAATTATCAATCGAAATATGTTCGCTACCGATTTCGTTTTTTACCCAATTATAAAACTCAATCAAACACTATTGTTCGATGGTCATTAGTAATGACTCACTAGATCAATGTACATGCGGTATAACTGGGGTTTTCAATAAAATTATAAATGTATTAACGTCATGTTAATACACTGTTGCTGACAGTTTTGGTGCGCAATATAATTAGTTGTTGATTTAATTGTCTTTAAAGTTAGGTTAATAATTTTTAGACGTAAAAGTATTTGCGGTAGCTTTCGATAACTATCTCAAGTTTGAGGCTTTTAATTACACGTTAGAACTAGTGAAATTTTTTAAATATTTAGTCATTTGCACAAAAAAACGGTGCTATTAACGAAGATGTGAGGCAGACAAATAAATATGAATAGATCAAATGGAAGGAAGCGTCTGGTGTTTTCTGTGATAAGAGAATCTTAATGAGATGCTAAAAGGTAAATTCTATAAGACCAACTATGTTGTATGTATCAGAGTTTTGGATGTTTGGCAAAGAGTAGAGCAGAGAATAAGTGTAGCAGATATGGTAATACATTAATGGATGAGTGGAGTGATGAGAGAAAATAAAATATGTAAGAATGAATATACAAGAGGGAGCATAAATATTGCGTCGATCATCAATGAGATAATAGATAGTTTGGTCAAATTATGAGAAGAGAGAAATCGGAGGCTACAAGAACTACTATGTAAATGAGCGATGAAGGAAAAAGACGAAGACCGAAAAAAAGTTGGTTTGATATGTTTGAGGGCGATATTAGAACTGTTGGTGTGTGTATTGACGATGTGGAAGATCGTGTCAAGTGGAGGTTGAGGATACGGATAG